CAACTGCCAGAAAGTTTTCAGCACGCTCAGAGGCCTTTAGATGTGTTGGACTGAAACTGTGTTTGAGATGATTCCTCGCTTGTCTCCAACTGCACTTTTCCAGTCTTTGAATCCTTGATTAATGAAAACTGTATTGGCTGTTTGTGTGCTAAATGACAAACAAGTAGCACAGTATGCAGAATCTTCTGAAGCTGAATATCTAAGCCAGGGATGCTTCTCCTCCCACTTTATGTTATATCGTAGCAGTTTTTCACCAAACTTTGATTTGGGGTAGTTCTAGCTAGAGCTGCTAAACCTATGTTTAAGAAGAAAATATTTATTTTCATCTGTTAATGTCTTATTCTTATAGCTTGCTGGATCAAGTTCAGTTGGAGATGTTTCAGATGGAGAGATGTGTATTTGATTTACACTTTCTTTCTCACACATGGTCTCTCTCTGCAGTTTCTCTGTCCCCTCTCCTTCAGTGTGTTTCTTTCTGCCATGTTCCTTTTCTTTTTCTTGCAGTTTCTCACAAACCACCGCTATATCATTTTTATATCCTCCTGTTCTCTCATCTACTCTGTCTTTTTCTCTTTCATCTCTGTCTACTTTCTTCTGTTGTCTTCTTTCCTTTGCTCTTATACTTTCACCTTGCTCTCCTGAAAAACCCAATGAATAGACAAGTTACATCTGCCTTACTTGGAATGTCTTTATGTCTGAATGGTTTTAGATTGAACCTCTTTGGTGTGTTCTTGCTGTGGTGAAATTCTAATTCCATCTTTGAGTTCTTTTTTAAAGACAGAAAGGTTTTATTTACCTGCAACGTTTCGTTTGCGGCTGCAAAACATCTTCAGAGCTGACGCTGATGGTGGCGTCACTTCCTACTCCGTTTATCCGCGGGCAGCAGAGGACGTTGTCGCCCTCTGCTGCCCGCTCTCCCCTCTCCGATGATGCAGTCCCATGCACGATCCAATGAGTAAACTCCATCGTCCCTGTTCATGGTCCCACATCCACGTCTCCTTATCTCGATAGCTTCTTTTATCCATCTTTTGTATTTTTGTTGTTCGGTGTTTATGATCCTTGTGTTGTCCCAGTCCATTATATGGTTTTCTCTTGTGCAGTGATCTGTTACGGCTGACTTCTTTAATGTGCTTTCTGCTTCTTCTTTTGCTGCTCTTGTGTGCTTTCGACTTGTTTCTTTCTCACGCTCCTTTCTATGTTCTGTTGTTCGTGTGTTGAGTTGGCGTCCGGTTTCTCCTATGTATGTTTTATTGCAGAGTTTGCATGGGATTTTGTAAATGACTCCACATTTAAGTCCAGCTGATATTTTGTCTTTTGGGTGTACTAGTCTGTTTCTAACTGTTGTGTATGGTTCTGTTGGTGTGTTTATGTTGTGTTTTTTCATTGTTGCTCTTACTTTTCTGTTATGCCTTTGATATATGGTAGGGTTATCACTGGTTTTGGTTCGTGTCTTTCTGGGTTTCTGGTTCTTTGCTTTGGTTGTTCTTTTCTTTCTGTTTTTGTTTGTTGTTTTCCTTTGTTTATTGCCCATGTTGGGTATCCGCAGGTCTTTAAAGCATGTTGTATGTTTGTCCTCTTGTTTACGGTCTCTTTCTTCTGTTACCATGTTTGCTCGGTGATATAATGTTCTGATTACTGACATTTTGTGTATGGTGGGGTGTTCTGATGTCCATAATAAATATAAGTCTATGTGTGTTGGTTTCCTGTATGTGTTTATGTTTAGGGTCCCGTCGGTCTGCCTGCTTATTTTCATATCCGTAAATGCTATACTGCCTTCTGTTTCTGACTCATATGTGAACTTTATGTTGCCTGTTGCCATTATTTCACCGAGCAAACATGGTAACAGAAGAAAAAGACCGTAAACAAGAGGACAAACACATACAACACGCTTTAAAGACCTGCGGATACCCGACATGGGCAATAAACAAAGGAAAACAACAAACAACAACAGAAAGAGAAAAACAACCAAAGCAAAGAAGCAGAAATCCAGAAAGACAAGAACCAAAACCAGTGATAACCCTACCATACATCAAAGGCATAACAGACAAAATAAGAGCAACAATGAAAAAACACAACATAAACACACCAACAAAGCCATACACAACAGTTAGAAACAGACTAGTACACCCAAAAGACAAAATATCAGCTGGACTTAAATGTGGAGTCATTTACGAAATCCCACGCAAACTCTGCAATAAAACATACATAGGAGAAACCGGACGCCAACTCAACACACGAACAATAGAACATAGAAAGGAGTGCGAGAAAGAAACAAGTCAAAAGCACACAAGAGCAGCAAAACAAGAAGCAGAAAGCACAATAAAGAAATCAGCCGTAACAGATCACTGCATAAGAGAAAACCATATAATGGACTGGGACAACACAAGGATCATTAACACCGAACAACAGAAATACAAAAGATGGATAAAAGAAGCTATAGAGATAAGGAGACGTGGATGTGGGACCATGAACAGAGACGATGGAGTTTACTTATTGGATCGTGCATGGGACTGCATCATCGGAGAGGGTAAAGCGGGCAGCAGAGGGCGACAACGTCCTCTGCTGCCCGCGGATAAATGGAGTAGGAAGTGACGCCACCATCAGAGTCAGCCTGACGAAGTTTGCAGCCGCAAACGAAACGTTGCAGGTAAATAAAACCTTTCTGTCTTTTAAAAAGAACTAAAATATGGAATTAAATTGAACCTACTCAATTATTTTCTAAAATAACCTGCTTTATTAACAAAGATACATTTTATTATAACACTGACACTGTAACTTTGTGAGTTAATAAGTGATAATGGTTTTATCTCATAAACAGTTGTCAACTTAATCTCTCTTACCAGTATCCTCTCCACCACCTCCATTACTTCTCCGTCTTTTCACCACTTTCTCACTCCAAAACATAAGTTTTGTTTGGTGCAGCTGCTTTTTCATCGTCTGAACAAAGCAAACACAAAATCAAAGTGAATTTACAAGCCTTTTTGAGTTAATGCATGCAAGACATGTGTTGGACTTGTTTTTGACATTTTGTAAGTGGTCACTTTCGACACCGTGTTGATATGACTCATCATTTAACGTTTATAATTCATAATTTGTTAGAATGTAATAGGCGATATTAGCATTATCATTCCTATGGGTTTTTCCATGTATATTAGCATTGTGCTAACCACTCGCTACCAGTCAAATCAAACCCTATCGATTAGAAAATCTCCTTTTGCAACATTGCAATTTAATTGCATATGCAGTTAATCGTTCAGCCCTATTTGACAGATGAAAAGACGTTTGACTCATATTCAGAGAAGAATAGCATTAAAGTATTTACAGCTATTTACCTCTGTTATCTTTCGCAGTCGTCACTCTTCTTCCTGTTTCTTATTCTTCTCGTGTTTACTGGCTGACCCGACCTGCGCTCTTCTTCGTCATTAGTTTGGGTGTCTCGTGTTGTTGTAGCGCCCCAGCCATAACCAGGTGGACAATGCAAGTAGTTCGCAAGCATTATTTGAATGTTTTTTTTAAATACACTGAGAAAATACAGAGGTCCAGACCTCGGTGTCCTCAATGGTGGATACGGCCCTGCCCACCCCCATCCCTACAAAAAATATTTATCGTGAATCAGAATCGACTCAGAAACCTGTTCTCTGTGCTTTTGTTTTCTCAGTCCCAATTCAGATTTTTCTTTTTTCAAAATACTTTTCACCACATAAAGCAAAATGTGAGAGTTTTTTTCTTGGAGAGCACCATCTAGAGGCAGAACAATGCATTGCACCCACCTTTGAGCCCATCTACCTACTTCCATGATTACGGCTCTCATTCCTGAACTTGTCCATAAGAAATGTTGCCAACTCTGCATCATGTCACGAACTCCTCCCGCTGACTGCATTCCAATCATTCCTGCCACCAACGTGGCGGCTGACGTCATCACGCCGACACTACTTAAGGAAGTGCCAGCGTTTCATTCATTGCTCAGTCATCGTTCTCACCAGACTTTGTATCGAGACTCCAGGCTTACCAGCCCTCAAAACCTTCCAAACTACACCTCCAGGAGATAACCACGCCGGTTATCTCCGTCACTCCGTGTCTGGGCAACAGAAACTCTCAGTCACGCTTCAGATCTGCCAACGAACCTGACACATCAGTAGGTTTGCAAATGCTCGTGCACGCGCTGTGATTGACTTGGGCTCGCATGCTGGTCTACGGGACCGTCTTAGCTAAAAATGATGTATTGCCTACATTATACCAAAGTACAGGGTAGGACTATCACTTTTATGGATTTCTAAAAAATCACACATGATTCTGAAAATGGGGAAAACTCCAGATTGCTGTTTTAACGATCTTATCTAAAGAAACTAAGAGAACATTTTAAATGAAGAATGTAGCTAACAGCAAAAAATGTTACTTACCAGATAATAAACTTTAACTAGAAATAAGCTCCAAAACAATCAGTCGTTGTTATTTTCTGGGTCTGTTAGTTGCATGTAATAAATGTCCTCATCTCATTTTTAAAACGGGTTAGATTGAAGCTTGGTCTGTTGAGCTACAGTTACATTTCCATGACAACCAGCAGTCTTCGCCTTATATCTAATGGGTGTTTTAACAGGCCAACTGTTACATTGGTTTTTTAAAATATTTCCCACACGTTGGAAAGTGATGAAAGGGTGTTTGTTTTATCAGCTTGTTGACAATCCAGATGTGTTTGTGTCTACAAGCGTAATGTGCAGCGATGCAGAAGCATGTAATGTTGAGATTTCTCCTCTGGAGTGATCTTACCAGTCATGACTCAAATAGTCGGTTAATATTTGCCTCGATCTGACTCAGAGATTCACCAATGAGAAAATCTCTCTGCTTTTGTTAAGAGCCCCTCTGGAACTGGATATCAAACTGTAACGCGGATTATGGTTTTATTTTAAGCTTCAGCAGTTAGACGCCAACTTTTCTGCTCAGGCAAGCGTCAGCTGCTTGGTTTATATCTTTTTCTAATGTGTGTTTGTGTGTGTATTCAGGTGGGGAGAAGAACCTGGCTGTGTGTGTTTGATCCAAAGGCTGATGGCTTCTCCGACTTGAAGGACTCTCAGAAGTTCAAGGAGTTTCTTCAGGATAAATATGAAAAGAAAAAATGGTAAAAATGTTGCCTCTTTTTAATCCTTTTGATGTCTTTAAGTGTGTTTATGTGTAAAAGGTTTAAATGTGTGGTGCACTCAATCAATACATTTGCAGTGGTTTCTAGTAGGAGTGAATGCCTGCAGGATTTGGACTCTTATTTCCTGATTTCCTTATTATTTCTGCCATCTTTTTTGTGCTGATTGTTTTTTCAGTTACATTGTTTTTTAGGGATGCACCGAAATTAAATTTCTCAGCCGAAAAGCAAAAATGGTGAAACCAAGGCCAAAAACTGAAACACCTAAAAAAATAATGGAATCAATAATTTGAATGGCTACAATGTGTACCAACCTCACTAAAATCAAGGCATTGCAATAAATCAATTACTAAAGCTTGAAAATATTTATTTAGCACTGACATAACAACAATGCACAATATATAGTAAAAATCAAAATAAAATGTTTCACTTGACTCCACTCATGTAAATTAAATAAAAATAATTTATAAATAAATGAATCAATAAATTAAAAGTGTACAGGCTTATAAATGTACAGGCCTGCTGAGAAAGACTGTAAAATTAGATATGCTCTCTAAAAAAAGCACAAAATGTCAAGTGCCTTTTAAATTCTTCTGTGTAGGACTACTAAGTACTACAGACTACAACAAAGTACATTCAGAACAAGTGCAACAGCTGACAGATGTAATAATATTTTCTCTGTAGGCCTACAACATAAAGGTGTATCACAGCAAAGATTACCCCGGCCCATTGGCCTTTATCAACAACAAATGCACTATGAATTGTGGATGTAGGCTTCAAAGTGGAAAACAAACATTTTAACTAGGGATGTAAGAAAATATCGATATGTCAATTTATTGTGATATTTTTTCCTGCTGTAACATATCGATTTTTGGAAGAATTTACATGCAAACATTTGTGTATTTTCTAGGGCCGGGACTTTAACGCATTAATTATGATTAATTAATTAGAAAAAAAAACGCATAAAAAAATTAACGCATTTAATCGCAGCTTGCATTTCGAGCACGGCGGAACCTTTGTCATTGCACGATTTCCTCGTAGACTGAATATCACTGACGCACACAACAATGCACAGTGCTGATGGCTACTAAAACGGAATAAAAACAGAAAGAAGTTGCCTTGCTTGGACTGATGCAGGATTTAGGAAACATGTCCGCCTCTTTTCTTAACTTGGAAAAAAAATTTCCAGACAACAACGGAGTCCGTGTCGCGGACATTTTTCAGAGGTCGTCTCTGCTGCAGCTGCCCGGTGGCAATGGGAACTTTACAAAAGTTGCGGTAAGCTATATTTTTAACATTTACGTAACATCTGTGCAGCGCTGAAAGCACCAGACAGAATAATTCTTTGCCCTAACAGTAGTTTATGAAAGTAGTCAGACAAACGAGAGGCACCTGGCTGCCGCTGGGAGAACGCTCCGTGTTCTCACTACTCTGTAAACAATCACAGACAACGTGTCTTAAAGTTGAAAACAGAAGTTTAAGTTAAAACAGAAACACTCTGAAACTTTTCTGATGATTTTCTAAACAATTCTGTTGGGGAGTTATGCGTTTCTGAGACGAGTCTCTGTCTAAACATCACATGCATTACTATCATTAAGCAGCGAGGTGTGTTGAAGCTGTCATCAGCTAAGGGGCGGATGCTTAAATGTATCAGGGGCAGCGAGGAACGAGAACGTTGTGATCAGGCTGGAGATCACACCAGATTCGCTGCTGCAGGTGTGAATCTGCGGGTCTGCAGCACCCCCTTCTTAACGTGACAGCAGGACTTCCCATGTAAGGAAGGTCCGCTCACCTGTTCGTCAGATCATTATTTCCTCGCCATGATCTTTTATCATCCCATCAACCTCCAGTCATCCAACTGGAACCAGTTAGTGTTCCTGATCATTCTCAGAATATGCCATGCCTGCTCTGGTGTTAAAAGTTAGTACATTCAAGTCCTAGATCATATTTGTGCCTGTTCTACTGTCATTTTGAAGGATTATTATTTATGTGTTTTTACTACATCATGAGTAGAAATGCTAATAAAAACTCCCAATTATACAAACAAGTGAAACTGGAAAAATTAGAATCTGGTGCAAAGTCAAATTTATTTCAGTCATTCAACTAGACAGAGAGACTATTTAAAGGCTCAGGAACCCTTTGCAGGTGTTTTCTATTAGTAATTATAAATTTTAGTTGATTTGGGTTTTGTTTCATATCACACAGTGACATTTGAATAATTAAAATGCATTTTTTTATTAAAAGCTTTAGTTTACAGTAATAACCATGTCTAATGTTTGATTCTCTGTCTCATAGTTTTAATTAAAAGTTTTGCTTTGAGAGCACATTTTCCTGAACGATTAAAATGCGATTAATTTAGATTAATTAATTACAAAGCCTGTAATTAATTAGATTAAATTTTTTAATCAAGTCCCAGCCCTAGTATTTTCCTTTCTTTTGGTGCAATTCAAACTCCGACCGCTAGTTGGCAGCAGTGTGCAGTGGGTTTTGTTTCCACCATTGAAATGTAAATCCCTCTGTTATGGTGCAGATGCCTCATGTTAAACATGTTAAGTATCAGTTTGGACTGTTTATTGAATTTTCCTACAATAAATGCAGTCTAAAAAATGGCAAATATCGTGGCAAATATCGTCTGACTGAATACATCACAATATATTGTGATGTCGTATCGTCCCCCGTATCGTGATACGTTTCATATCGCCAGAATTTCACCAATACACATCCCTAATTTTAAAACTAGACACAAACTTATTCTACTGATTACGGTAAAGTGTCAAGTTTTTATTGATGAAGAGTAGCATTTCTGCTTTGTCAAACTTAAGTCTGTTCCTCCTTTTGTTGAGAACGTGAGCTGCAGGTCAGTCCCTCACTGCCAGTGCTTGTGTGGACAACATGGATTCAGAGAATAGCAGCGAGGAAAAAGCATTACTTTTAAAGTCTTTTTTTCTTCTTCACAAATTCAGGAATTTCTATGGTTTTAAAATCACAATCACTGCTTTTTCAGACTCTGAGAAAATCACCATGTTGGATTTCTGTTTGCTAAATGCGTGTACCTCATTGGTCTAAAATGATCACGTGAGAGCCGCTTCACTACTTTCTCATTACGGTCGAAATAAACTAGTCCCGAATTAAAACTAATATTATACTAAAACAGCAATACTAAAAGGTGGGAACATTACTTTTGAAAACAGTACGTATTTTTACGAAGCAAAGAGCAAGTAGCCACAGGAAGTCGGAGTGAGATGAAACAAAAACGAGCTTCACCTGACGGCCTGTTTTGGCCATGTTGTTTTTGTGATTTAGATGTTTTGGCTGAAAATTGAAAATGCACTTTTGGGTCCTTTTCAGCCAAAATTTCAGTGCATCCCTAATATTTTTATGATCTTTTGAGGCGGAAATCAAAACTGAAATACAAATCTGATCAATCGTAATGCCCAACAACAGCCACAGAGTTTTATGTAAAAAGTCTTGTGATGGGATTGCAAGTGTAAGGATTTATAAAACATCAACTGCTATGAATATCTTGGTACTGATCTTGATTTTGTCGTGATGGGTGGCAATTTCTTGACCCACGACATGCAGAATCAATTCTCGGAAACAGGTAAGTGTAAAAAGGTTTTGTTTTAAATGAGGAAACAAGAGGAGTAACGGGAACAGAAGAAGCTCTGCGGTGGTAGCAGGATTCCAGGGCGATCCTCTGAGGAGGGAGACAGAGTGAATATCCGGTGGAAATAATGGGAGAATTTGTAGTTAGGCGGGAGCTTATTGTTTTCCGGTAGAGACAATGTATGGGGAGGGGTTGGTCTGGCCCGGGTGAGCTGCGGAGATCCAGAAGGCGATGAAAGACTGTTTTATCCAGAGATGAGGTAGGAGCGGAGGTTGATGAGGGTAGGTGAGCATGAGGTAGGAGCGGAGGTTGATGAGGGTAGGTGAGCATGAGGTAGGAGCGGAGGTTGATGAGGGTAGGTGAGTGGCTGAGAGTGGGCGGCCAGGGGAGGAGACAGCGTGATCTGGGTTGCAGGAGTCCGAGCTGGTTATGGAGATGGTGGAGTGTGGAGCGAAACCTGGAGAGGAGCAGGGAAGAACAGTCAGGGTTTTTCTGGCGACGGGATATCCAGCAGAATTCACAGGATCAAGTAAAGTACACAGGAACTAGCAAAAACACCGGGTCAAGACAGGTTAGAGGCTAGAGCTACCCAAACAGAGTAATCATCCGGCGTGGTGTAGTGTCACACTCCTCCTTAAACCCCCTGGGCCTTGATGACAGGATCAGCTGCAGCCGGTAGCTCTCAGACACGCCCACCTGCAGACAAGGCTCAGAGAAAACAGGGTTGCAGACAGGCAGCTCACCACGGACCATGACAGTTTTAGGACATGAGCTATATTAAATGTTTCCAACCTTGAACTACCACTATCATGGTGCTGGGTTTTTATGACATCATTAGTGACATAGACTCTTTTATGTTTTGTTTTCTGCAGGCATTTTTCCAAAAGTAAGAACCGGAGGGATGTGGAGGGTCCGTGGAGTCCAGGCCTGCAGGCTGTGCCCCCTTCTCATGGTCCTCTAACTGGCCAGGGGCCCCCGCATAACTTACCCCCTAATGCCAGATCTACAAGACCGCTGGTGAGGGATTAAATGGGTGAGACGTGTACATGAAGTGGGTAGACGGATTTATAGAAATATAAATTAAGGTGGCTAAAGATTTGAGAACAGAAGTGGACAAAATATGTAGAAAAATGGAGTTAATTTATTCAAAGAAGATTTCCAAGATATAAAACAGAATATTATCTAACACTGATGGGCTGTGGACCTTTGGAGGGCCAGGTAGCCTCCACATCAAAGCCTCTGCTTATGAATTATTGAGAAATGATGAAAGAGTCTCACCTCGTCTGCCTTTACTTCTCTCCTTCCACCTACCGTCTGCGTCTTTGACTCCAGTCTCAGTCCCAGTTGCCGTCCTGGGATCGGGCTCCTGTCATCTCACCTGCCGACATGAGGACGGACGCCTTCACGGCTCGACCGTCACGCTCCCAGAGCTTCAGAGACCCCCCTCTGAAAGGTCAGTGGCTGATCTTTATGGGAGGATTTGCCCTTTTATAGGATCAGTGTTATTTATTCATTGGTCTGTGTTACAGATTCTGCCCTGTGTGGAATAGAAAGACAGCGGCCAGGGTCTTTGTCATCAGCGCTAGGAGGTCAAAGCCACACCCCTTCGTTCCCCGCCCTTCCACGGCCTTCAGGTGCGCCTACTTTTCAAAACAAAAACGTAATCATATGAAGCCGACTCAGGACCAGTTTTCTTTCTTTTTTTTAACACATTTTTCCTCCCATATGATCCTAAATGGTACTCTTCAGGCCCTGTGGTGTCTAGTTTGGTGGTCTAGGAAACACAAGTGTTTTTAAATATTCCTGATTTTTCTACCAAAATGATGATAAATTAGCATTGGCTGATTTTCTTGTTCCAAGGTATACCACAGTTATAAATACTCATGGTTTCAAACCCTCTAAAACCTTTCTGTCATGCCATTCTTGTAGTTTAAATTCTAAACAGCCAGAGACAGTGTTTGGTTTTCTCTAGTGGCATGTAGCTCCTCCCCTCCCCCACCTGTTGCAACAGTCAGTCAGCTGTGACCAAAAGACGCATATTTCTCCTAAACGGTTCTTCACAAAAATAAGTGGTTATTTGAATGAGTTTTTTGTTCAGGGCAAACACAAAAACAACGTCTGCTGAGTGATGCTTCTGAGGTTCATCTATAGCACAAGAACACCTGAGTAGCCTGGCTATCTGCAGGGGCGCCTCCAGAAAATGCTGATAGGGGTGGCCAGATGGGGCCAAAGAAATTTTTGGGTTGGCACACCAAATTGGTCCTTGTGGTAACTCTGGGAGAGTTTACCTGTGGCGATGCGCCTTTATTCGTTTTGATTAAAATAACAGTACGTATCCAAAACATTTAACTTGAAATTTACAAACACAAACATTTCAGAAATATACATTTCAGTTATTTAAAATTTTATCCATAATTTAATTAAAAAATGTTTTTTAGGTTAATTCACCTGTTGCTGTGTTAAAAAAACTATGGAGGTAAAAACTTTATTTTAAATGGTGAGCAGCAGAAACATACAGTATGTATTTCTTTTATTCTGATTATTTCTTTACTCATTAATTGTAATATTTTTATTTTTTTTTACAATTATGTCTTGAATAAACAAGATCAATTTATGGTTAGACTGAACATTAATATGATTTGTTAACACTGGCTTTTCCTTGGGGGGGCCAGCAATTTTCTAGGGGTGGCCATGGCTACCCCTGGCCACCCCTTGGGGGGCTCCCTTGGCTATCTGCTCAGAAATGGCACAGCATCAGATGACCTCATAGATAACTTTGCATTAATTCCGCTTGTTACGTGCCATGGATTTCACAAATGATGCGTGTGAATTTTAAAGACGCATTTTGATACCAAGAAAACATTTATTTTCAAATGGGGGAAATGTTATTTTAGGTTTTGTGTGAAATAAGTCCAGAAGTACAAATGCGTCATCGAACCAGACATAGAGAAAGCAGAAGGAAAATGGCTGTAAGTTCAGCGAACTTCAAATCCTTCATTTAGCCATTTAGTAAGTAGCAGCTCCGCTAGGGAGAGGAGATTCTGTGGCGACTAGGGCTGGAGGGTAAACGATTATTTTTAAAACGATTATTCTGACGATTATTTTATCGAATAGTCGACTATTCTAATGACTATGTAGAAAATTAATCTAATGATTATTTTTCTATTGCACAATTAACAAAAACCAGAAAATCTCAAATAAATTCCTCAAAAAAATTAATAAATTCTTACTGTAAGAGAATAAACACTACAGGCCTTCCATTTTGTATAACACTGCTTTTATTGTGTTGGTTGGTTATGTTCTGGTGACGTGTAGAACTTGGGAGTGCAGGCTGTGAGTTGGTTGGAGAGGGAGTGTCTCCATGCTGCTTTGTTTTGGTCACTTATGTGCGTGAGGCGAGTGGTGTTACGGGTTAAACCAAACTCAAGGTGATATTTTACACTAAACCGAAAACCCACAACACTCTAAATGTAATAAAAGGGAGATCTACACCACAAAAAAGATGAACTCTAAACAAAACGTAACAGCTTATCCCAACGCAAGAAGCTGTTAGCGAAGATGCTAACAGTAGCTTTACCAACGTTAAGTTCAAGTTACCAAGTTTAAATAAACCAAAAACACCCAGCAGCAAACAGACCAGCACGGAGGAGAGACTGCTACCACCAAAACAGCTCTCCTAATGTCTGAAAGAAGCTCCCTTATGAAGGGAGAAGCGCTCCCGGTGATGTCCTACATCTGCGGTAGAGACGAAGCAGCGCATCTGACCCCGGAAGTTGTTGTCCGTTGCCGGGAGACAAAGGCGGGCAAAACAGGAAAATAATCTAGTAGTGGACGGACGTTGTTCCGGGTCTTCGGTATTTGGCGGAGATGTTAGTGAAGGCGGAGAAGAGGGCGAACTAGAGGAAAAACAGGCAGATTCCTCCTCTATTTACAAACTCCTGGTAACTTACTGGTAATGTGGAGGATGGCATATGTGGGCGCGGTGCGTCGACTTCCGGATCTGACGTCGACAAATTTTTAGAATCGAGCCGTCGACGTCGTCGAGGCTTCGCTACAGCCCTAGTGGCGACCATATGCGACGTGCCGATGTCTGAATTGTGATTATGAACTTTTACAAGCGGATGAATCTCAAAGTACTAGACAGACGTGGTCGAAACACACATCATTACTTTTCGTTGAAAAAGAAGTATAACAAATGTGCGATCAAGGACGTAAGGCAAAGCAGACTAGAAAATAGATTCATTTTTTCGTATTTCCGTGGACCCATGAGCCGACTGGAAAGGGAGGTGCCTGAGAACGAGCTTGCACACGAGAGTAAACATCCCAGCTCTAAAGTTGATTTTCACCCATGTGTGTCATACGTCACGTAATCGGGAAGCAGACAATCCACAAATTAGGACTGGTATTTAATTCTGGTCCTGGATATCCAGCACGTTTTAGTGGTTTCTTTGCTCCAACATACTTGATTCAGTGGTTGAATCACCTGTGTAGCAGCTCATGAGTCTCTGCAGAAGTCTGTTAATCACCTGCTGAGGTGTGTTGGAACAAAATTAAAACTAAAACGTGCTCGATACCGGCCCTCCAGGACCGGAATTAAATCCCCCTGAGTTAAGAGATGATTGGGACGCCGTTTTTAGAAAAGTGAGATGCAAACCGGAAAATCTTCTGCAGCTTACACTTGCACAACAGATTGTGAAAAAATGGAAAAAGTTAGAAACACGCTGATTCGTCCTGATGTAAGAAGTGAGTCTACTCTTTTGGTAGTTTTGGTGTTTACATGGTCAATGAGCATAATATTCTGTGACTCTTCAAATAAACGTAAAAACGCTCAAAAACACTGGCAGTCAGGTGCTTTCTGTTGAGAAAATAGGTGGCAGTGAATGAGTTAATATCGCAAAACATTGTGTCTTTATCATTATATATATCATATCTTCTCCACTTTATCATGATATATATTGTATCGTCTCCCCCATATCATGATATATATCGTATCGTCTCCCCCTTATCATGATATATATCGTATCGTCTCTACTCGCCTCTGTCAGCACGCCCCAGGGCAGCTGTAGCTACATCGTAGCTCATCCCCACCAGTGTGTGAATGTGTGTGAATGGATGAATGATACACTGTAGTGCAAAGCGCTTTGGAGTCCTTACTCTGAGAGGCGCTATACAAGTACGGGTCATTTATCATTTATCATACTTTAATCGTGATATATATCATATCGTCTCCAATTTATCGTGATAGATCCGTCCCGCAGCGCTCCTCCGTGAGCGGGGGTGGGGTGGTTGCACACGTTCCGCTGCTGTTTCTCACCAGTATCAGCTGATGGAGGGCTCAAGTTTCGTCGCGCCGTTCGTGTCAGCGGACACGGTAGGGTTGGGGGGGGGGCATGACGCTTAGCCTGGCGGGTGGGCAAGCAAAGCCTGGTGGGCCGCCAGGCTTATAAAGCGCTGGGGGAACCCCGGTTATACCATCTCATCTTCCCTGTATTGTGATATACTATATATTGTATTATCTCCCTGTTTTGTGCCATATATCTTATCGTCTTCCCTGTATTGTGACATATATTTTATTGTAGTTCTATGCGATCTGATTGTATAAGGTTGTTAAGGATTATAAAGTGATGACGATCTACCAAATCTTGGAGATCGTAGAACCATCTATTTGCATTTTATCACCTATACCATTATATCTGGGCACACATTTTTTCTCAGTCATGATATTTGCCAGTCTGCTTCGACACACCGATAAAACAATCAGAGCAGGTTTAAGGCAGTGTATTGGTTTACCTGGGGTGCTCGGTAGAGCTGAGGAAAATAATTTAATAATCGATGCATTAGGATGCGGACGTAAACGATTATGAATCTTTAAAGAAGCACACTAAACTGCTCTAAACTTTGCATTTGGCTTTGTGGCTTTTAATATTTAGGGATGTTTGTGTGTGTTTTAGCGAGTCTTTTCAATGTGGCTGCTGACCAGAGCTTTGTTTATGCCAAACCCCTCTCCGCGTAGTCAGGAAACATCTACGGAGAGTTGTGAGACCCAAAAAGCGAGAGTTTAATCCTGACTAGAGGATACATGAGATAAGGATGTATCATGAATTTAGCTTAACATGATAGTTTATTTTCTCTGGACAAGAAATAATTACTGGTAATGTGGAGGATGGCATATGAGCCACCTCTAGATAGAATTTAAATAATTTTACATTAATTATAAGTATTTAATAAATGACAGTGCCTGTGAGACAAATGAGACATGCATCACTAGCTCTCAACTGTGATTAGATAGATAGATAGATAGATAGATAGATAGATAGATAGATAGATAGATAGATAGATAGATAGATAGATAGATAGATAGATAGATAGATAGATAGATATTTTCCTCAGTTGCTCATTTGAATTGCGGAGTTCCCCTAGGCTCAATCTTGGGTCACATTTTATTCACCATCGGCTCTGTTCTTAGAAAACACAACATCTCATTTCCTTGTTACGGCAATGATAAACTATTAAATCTGCCATTGAACCTGGGTAATTCAGACTTCATTACTTCAATCAACGCTTGTTTAATGGATATTAAAAGCTGGATGGCCAATTTTTAAATCTAATTTGAAGACTATTTATTTTCTTTAGCTTTTGAGTGCTCTTAACCATTTTAGTATCTCTTATTGTTTTATTATTTTACTGCTGTTTTTATTGTCTTACTGTTGGTTTTATTATTACTAACTGCCATTTTATTTATTTTTTTACAACCTTTACTGCTGTTTAGTTTAATTTGTCTTATTGTGTTCTTTCTTAAACATTGTTCAGCACTTGGGTCAATCTTTGATTATTTTTAATATGCTATAAAAAATAAAGCTGATTGATTGATTGGCATATTTTTGAATTTTAAGATTTTGTTTAGGATTCAGAAATCTTTTATCCTATTTTCTGTGAACAGGTATGCCTTTAAATGTATGTATTTTACTGGTAAAAAACCTCCAAAACGCCTGAATTGTAGAAATGGAAAAAATTGTGATAAAATCGTTTTTCCATATCGCCCGCTCCACCCCATCGTATCGTCTTCCCTGTATTGTGATGTATATCATATCACCAAATTCTGGCCAATGTCCACCCCTAAAACATTGGTTGTTAGTTTCGGCCCAGTTTTACTTATCAAACAGATACTGATACGTTACTAACATCGTCCGATTACAATGTTACTGCCGTGATATCATGCATGAATATCAACGATGAAGCATTTTCATATTTCGTTAGCATTTTGCTTTTTCAACATTTGCTGCTAATACAGTGGTATATTTGTTCAAGGTTATCATGCATTCATAATCATACTGGTTATGATTGAGAATGAGGCCCAAAAGGAAAGGAGTGTTCTGGTTAAAATGCATCCATGTCATCTTGTTGACCACCAGCAAACCACAAAGTCATTAAGCTGCAGGGTGGACCGTTTGACATGACGACAGTGACTTTCCTTTCTCTTCTCTCTTCCTGTCCATCCTCCTGTGACTCTGTTCTGTCCTCCACCCAAATAGCCAGCAGCTCGTTCAAAAACCACTTCACTTTAGGTAAGACCTGATGCTTCTGAGTGTGTGCTGAGTGAATCGATGAGCTCTGACCCGCTTGTGTCATTTATAATAGATGGCCTGTCCGCGGGTTCTGTTGGCGCTGGCCGTTCCACACATGCATGTGAATTTATCCGAGCAGCACTCTCCACACGTTTTATCCAATCGGATCACGGCTGATCGGCAGCTGATGCTGAAATTAGGGTCAGGGCTTTTCGTGGCTGGTCAGGTTTTGCATCTGAAAGCTGGAAGGGTCGAGGAAACCCTCATCGTCGTGCACTTTCTCAAGAGGGAGAAGAAAAAGTTTTAAGCAGGGATATTTTTAGTCCATATCCACCTCAGTCAGTGCAAGGCCACTGGTATTTCGCACCATGCTGGTGTTGAAGCACTTAGAACCTATGTAGGGCACAGCTGTAATCTCATCTCAAACAAGTATTCTGAGAAGCTCAGGTATGCTCTTGGAGTTGGGGCCTAACGCTTCAGATACTTCACAGGAGATCAAAGCCCAGAAACCTGCACCGTGACAGGAGTTTATCTGAATTGGGTCAAGCCTGGACTCAGTCTCTGATTTCTCAGCTGACAGGAAGATGAATTTTGATTTCCGTCCTCATGTTACCTGCTCAGTAGCTGGGCTGCATGGCGGCGCAGTTGTTAGCACTGTTGCCTCGCAGCACGAAGGTTGCAGGTTCGAAACTCGGCTGCGGCCTTTCTGCGTGGAGTTGCGTGTTCTCGCCATGCATGCGTGGGTTTCCTCCGGGTGCTCCAGTTTCCCCCACGGATCACAACATGCCCTACAGGTTATAAATTGTAAGTCGCTTTGGATGAAAGCGTCTGCCAAATAAACATGATAACGGCATGTTCTGTGGCTGATTTTCTGGGTGATGCATGTGCTGATGTTGGTTTCCTGCTTTTGTCAAAATAGTTTCGTCATCATTTTTGGCTGTTTTTGTTTCCTTCCATGCTTGCAGATACTAACCCAGTGTGCTGTGTTTAGTACACACCCCGCTGACCCTGCTGCTGCAGCATGAAAACGTTTGCTTCTCTTTGAGTAGCATGTGCATTATATTTCAGGAAACAACAAAGTTCTTGAATAAATGCTGCAGTTTCTCTCATGTAACAAAACACAGCATGAAGCAAACAAATGAAGCAATTACAGATTTTCAGAGAAGAAAGCAATATTTTAACAATGTTAGTTCCTTAATCTGAAGTGTGTCTTTTTTTAAATATATTTTTTAGGTCTCATCTTAAGGACAACTGTAGTCATCAGTTCCCTTTAGATTTTAGCAGAAAACGTGTTGGAATTGGAACGCTATCAGAGGAAAGTGCAGCTTACAAGGTGCAATTTCCTATTATTCAATGTTCCAGTTCCAACAAAGTGCACGTTTGTCTGATGCGGTGAACACTGAATGATAGGAAGGTGCAGCTTGTTGGAATTGGAACGCTGTGGAATGTGTAAGTTGTTGGAGTTAGCACACTGAATCAGACAAAAGTGCAGCATGTTGGAATTGGAACACGCCCACAGGAGAGTGCAGCTTGACCTGCAGTTAGAGTACTATTGCTCATGTACTCTACAGCAAAAATCGGTTCTATCCGATGAAAGTGTGTCACAAAATCCTATTTTCGTGACACAGTAAGTAACTTAGAAGGCTTATCTTTGACTCTATCAATGGCCAGGTTACGATCCATTTCTAAATTTTATGGGTTTCCGATATGATCGGTCTATCATTAATATCGGCATTACAATTTAATATAGAAAAATATCTGTAGTGATTTTTAGTCTTTTAATAACATAACTTTTACATACCATACACATATGATACATGAAACTCTTCACCTACGTCTCTCTCTCAAAATGCAAAAAAAAAAAAAAAAAAAGACGGGTCTGAGGTAAAATTTGTAAGATATTTTAGGGTTTTTTGGCGAAACTTGTGAAGTAGAAATTAGCCCTGTGTAGTGAACGTACGCGCTCCTCACAGCATGTCGCTACGTGTAGCTAGACGGCTAACAAAGGACTAAAACAAAAACAAGAATCTTCACTCAAGGCTTGTTTCTCTTACCTGAAGATCTTTAGACATGTTTTAGCACCACAACTGCAATCTAGAGAAGTAACCTAAAATGTTTTTTTCTTTTTTTATGTGAGGGTAACACATACTATCGGTTTATGTATTAAAAAATAAGAGTCTGACAATATTGGTAAATCAGATATTGGTATAAAAGCCACTTTTGAGCATTCCTACAAAATTTCCAAGAAATTTTTTTATAGTCTCAGTAAATTTTCCAAAAATAATCATTTGTTTTCGCATTTGGTTCAAAGAATCCAAAATGTACTCACCATCTTCTTTACATGTTTTGCTTGGATTTCTTTCAGGTCGTACGGTGTCTGTCTCAGGGGTAACGGGTCCCTTCAGAGCTTTCCCCAAGTCCCTCAGCGTGGATTTTGGAGGTCTGAACCACCCTCAGCCTCCGCCTCAGTCTCTGTCTCAGCCTCGGCAGCAGCAGCCTGCCAGCATCAGCCAGACTACAGTAGCAGTCGGCAGCTCCGGTGGTCAGGACAAGTACGCTGCCGTGTCTCACCTGGATAGCGTCTTTTCTGAAACATCGACTGCAGGTACCAATGGATTCACTGGAACTCAACTCAACGGTAACTTTCACCAAGCAGCTGATAATATTTTTGATTTTTTTTTTCAAAGCAGGAAGGTCACGTAGCAACAGCCTTAATTTAGTTTTATTTGTGAAGCAATTGTTTAAAACTATTATTAGCATTCTAAACTTTGGTTAGCAGCTAGCTGTGCTGCAACGCTAAAGCTAGGAAGATGGTTTTTGAAGTCTGTGCGGGGTTCTTTTGCTGCTGCTTGATTAAGGTTACTGTTGAGTTAAGTTGCAATGCCTTTCAGCCACCATAAGGGGTGCAAATACCAGTAACCCCCGTTTCCTGTGCTATACGGTATAAACCGTTTATTAAGTCAGCTTTTTTTCTGCATCACTGTATTCGAGTTTTGAAGATGCCTCTCTGTTTGTACGTGTCTTAATACTTTGACCTGAGTGCTGACTGTGTAGCAAATATCAGAGAAGGGGGTTTGAGAGAGAGCGCGTGCGTGTGTGTGTGTGTGTGTCTGTGTGTGTGTGTGTGTGTGTGTGTGTGTGTGTGTGTGTTGTGAGATTCAGATTGCCACGGCCGGCTCAGTTTGGTTGCATAACACTCTTACTCCAAATGCCGAGCAGCTGAATTCCGCTCATTATGTTTACTCTAGATCACATGAAGTTTAAAGGACCTTGTTGGTCTGTTTTGAAGTGAACGGCTGGATTTGTCCACTCTCCAGGCCGGCTGGTTTATGAATGTGAGCACGTGAGAATCCCTGGAGCTTGATGATCTTTGCGCACACACCCCCATGCTTGGCAGAGTCATGAGGTGTATCGATTTTCTGCTCCAGCTTACTCAGTTCCATTCCAGGCTGATTTTATTCAGTTAATTTTTTTCCTCTTTGTGTTTTACACTTCGAGGTTCAACAGCTAAACTCTTTTTCAGATATTTACTCGTGTTTCACGGTAAAAACAGCACTTGACCTTTGAAATTAGGGTTAATTACAGGCCTGAGGTGATGTTTGGTGTTTTTATGTGTTGAATTCTTGCCTACAGCTCCACCTGGTGGCCCTCCACAGTACAGCTCTCTTTTTGGCAGCAGGCTGTCATCTAGCTCCACTCCTGCCAGGTACAACAAAACAAAAACAAACGTAACATTCAAATTTTCTGCAAGTGGAGCCAGATTGATATTTATTTTCTGTTGTTTTTGTTTCTCTACTTCACTCCAGCTCCCCCGGTGTTGATGCTGCTCCTGGCTCCCAAACGTTTGGAAGTAAGCCCAAAAGATGAGCTGCATTCAGTGTGTTGTTGTAAAAGCCTGCAGACGCACCTCATTAGGACTTGAGACTCAGAGTGAAGTCGGTGTGAAGGGACAGGAATGTCCCCTGTTAACCCAGCACATGGTGAATTATCTCCCTGTCCTCTCTCACCCCCCCTGCTCCCTTATTGTGTGTCTCAGATTTCCCAAACCCGTTCAGCTCGGCCTCCCAGCAGCCTGCCGCCCTCTCGCCCAGTAACCCTTTCAGCACCGCCTCAGGAGGTCAGTCTGGTGTCCGGGGAATTTCACAGATTCTACTCTGATGCGTCCTGATCTTTTTTTTAATATAAGATTTATTTAGAAAACTCCTCCTTCTGGTAGCTTTGTCGTGTTTCTGTCATTATAACTAAAACTAAACAATAACTTTATGCTAAATCGAAGAGAAACTTTTACTTATTTTTAATTTTGGCAGTCTTTCGTAACATAAAGCCATAAAAATCAGGTCTAAGTCTCTGAGCGATGCCGTATTAGACGCCATGTTTCCTTCTATGGGAGCCCGTGAGGACAAAATGCATTTGCTTATTTGTAGCAAGCAGTTACAAAACTTTCACTATTCATAAACATTGCTGTTTTACACTTTTACCTCCACTCTTGCCTGTGATTAAAGGGAGTCTGATGTGCTTGTCGTTTTGCTAGAGGTTGCACTCTAGGGTTGTCACGGTAACCGGTGTAGCGGTAAACCTCGGTAAAAAAGTTGACAATAATAATAACAGTCTTGTTTTTAAAAAACTATATTATCTCGGTGGATTACCGTGGCTGCGGTGTAGAGGCGGTGACCCTTACCAGCCACCGTATCATCTGCTGAAGTTGCCGGCGGCACATGCGCACTTTGTTGTTTACAACCAAAACTTTCTTGAAGCGAAAGCTGAAATAATGGCCAAAGGAGGAGACGGCAGCGCTCAGGACATTTATTATCCCTCAAAGAAGACAAAGTGGGAAGTACGGGCATTTTTTTGATATTTGAAGAATGCCGAGGGACAGTTGATAGAAGACGGCTATCCTGTTTGCAGCACGTGCAGAAAAAGTGTCTGTGAAAGGCAGCAACGCTTCAAATCTCATGACACATCTGCGTGACCATCACCCACAACTCTACAGTCAACGCAAGGCAAGCTAACGTTAGTGTTTTAGCTAAAATGCGTGATCCGAGGATTTGGGTTGAGGGAGAATGCAACGAGTCGCTATATAAAGCAGCCGCAGCGCCGCTACCTGCATATAAACCGTGTCGCGGACACCCCCATGTTGAAATGACGCTATGCATTACGGGGCTCCCAGGGGCAGATAAGAGTTGGTCTCTCTCCGAGAATAATTATGAATTTAACAATGATTACTGCCTGATGACATTTTCCCACATCTGCAAAGCTCACTGGAAGGAAACAAACCGAGGACAATATTTTCCTGATATAGGGTTTATTACTCAAGTAAGGGTAAAAAAGTATCTGATTAGAAGGCTACTTGAGTACTGAGTATCATCTGATCTAATATTTTTAAAATGATGACATCAAACAGACATAAAATAAGAAGTTGTGGGCAAATATTGGTATTTTAAAGACTAAAGGGGAAAAATGTAAACAAATAAACAACATAATTACAAAATAACACATTTTAGGCAAAAGTTAGACACAAACTGAGGACAATATTTCCTGCTATACAGGGTTTATGTAGTTGTCTGAAAGTGTAACACGTTTAAAAAAAATACCGCGATAATACCGAAAACCGTGATAATTTTGGTCACAATAACCGTGAGGTTAAATTTTCACACCATGACAACCCTAATACACTCCCAGGGATTTTTGACCCTAATGACCATCCGTTGGAAAGGTCTTACTCCAACACAAAAATAAGATTTAGGTATGTACTGCCCACTATAACCAGGGAAAATGCACGGCATCACTTTAAATACCCTAAACACAACTAAAATCTGCCCTTGCTTAACCAGTCTCACACCTTTGTTATCATTCTGTTCAAATTATTCCATCCATGGGGGCTGGAAAATACCTTCACCCTCCCATTCTTGAAAGGAGTGCATCCTACAGGACTGAATGATAACCTAGCTAAAATACACAATTTTCCTCTGAAAGACTGCTAAATGTTTGACTGTTTGGAAGCAAAATTTAAAGAAAAGAAGAAAACATCATTTAGTGAAGAAAAACGTAGGTAAATATGGCTCTGACTAGAAATATGATCAAATTTTAGACGGAGAGAAGAAAAGGTTCATTATTTTTTATTTTTATTCGTCTTTGTTTTCATTTTTCTACATTATTATATTCATATTTCCTCTCTATGTGGGCTAATATACTCAGTCTGACCAGGGTGTATGCGATGATCCTTTTCTCCAGGTGACTCCACTGTGTTCGTCACTTCGCCCACCTCAGTTTTTCCTCAGTCAGCTTCTTTCCCAGCAGCCACCTCTCAGAACGCATTTCCTCATGAGTCTGCCACCAATCAAGAAGCCAATGGTGAGATTGGTTTCATCCTTTTCCTCCTTGCATCTCATGTGTTGGAGGAAGTGTTTAGTTACACCATTTAAAGCATGTCGACGGTAGTCCTATGACCCCGGCTTTCCACCAGGTGCATAATCGTTGCGTCACATCCTCAAGTCTATTTGTTACTCGCTACGCTTCCGGAACACGTCAGGCCAGCAGTTCAGATCCAACTAGACAGGTGTGGTGTAAAGCATCTGGCAACTTTCGAAATTTCCTGTTCCTTAACTTCGTAGAAAAAAATTCTTGACTTGTGACACCTCTGTGGCTGAGGTCAAATGAACCAAAAACCTTTTGGGCACATTCTGCTTTTTTTGTTTCTCTCCTAGCCTCTCTGCGTAAACTGGCGAAATCTTGCGTAATCTTGCGTTTTTCTGTTGATTTTGGAACTTCCGGGGCCAGCTGTGTGGAATACTTTTGCTGCCGATGCATGTCTGAAACATTCCTAATGGGAAGGGATATGCGCTGTTGAGGTCGTGGAGAAAAAGCGCCTGTCACGTGGAAAACTCGGGTTAAGCTTCAGCCTATTTCTTTTCGGCTACAGGGATTGTAGATCCTAATTTTGGCAAGCTGGATATCTCATGTCTTTTTATTCTAAATGGTAAATTGTACCTAAAATAAACTTAACTAACCGCTGCATACGATGCCAACTAATTAATTAGTTATGGAGTTCCACAGGGCTCCAGACTCGGGGCAGTTCTGTTTTAGTATACATTATTAACGTGGGTGATATCAGTCACTTTCGATGGCTAATCCACTGGTTCCCATAGCAACTGTGAGATATCCTAAAGTACATTTTAAAAGGATTGACTCAAGTCTCCAGAGCTGCCATCTTCAGGACAACACTAGAAAACCATGTATTTGTCTGCAGACAGGACTGCTTCAGGCCCTGTCCACACGTAGCCGTCAGGGTTAGGGTTGGGGTTACAGAACAGAAACGCAGCTCTGGCAGGTCTTATTTCAACCTCTCACCTGTTTTTGTTTCTGACATGTTTCAGGTTTTGTTTCCTTCCCTGCTTCTGACTCTCAGCCCAAAGTCCCTCGGCCCATATCTGTGAACCCCTTCACGGTGAGCTTGCTGGGGCTGATTGGTGTTTTCTTTTTTTTTTTTTTGCTGGTTGTCCATCAACTTTAGGAGGTGCAGCAAGTAATGCTTGCTTGTGTTTCTCACCCTGCCCTGTCTTGTCTCACAGGGGAATGTTTACCCCAGTCGGGGGACGTCGAGAAACCCTTTCATCTGACCGCCCACCCCTCACCCAGCCCACCTCACTTCTCTGAGAACCAAAGGAGTGAACTTGAGGAGTCGCTGCCATTTCAAAGCCTCTGGAGTATTTTTCACCATGTGGGGGACCTCTTCTGTCCTTCTCCTTGTCCTCTGTGTCTGTGTTTACGTGTTTGTGGAGGAAACAGAAAAACGTGTGAATGTATTTAGGAAGTTGTACGTATGATTGTGTTTGTCTGATCTGATGTGTTTGTAAAGGTGTTTGTGTGCTAGTAAGACGCCACCTCAGGGCTCTGTGGGAGTCGCAAGCGAACAATGCCTCTTCGATTTTACCCCATCTCTCTCTCTCTCTCTCTCTCTCTCTCTCTCTCTCTCTCTCTCTCTCTCTCTCTCTCCTCCCACTCACACACACACAGACACACACGTTGCTGCTGCTGCTATTGTGCTTTCATCTCCTGCTTAAAGAAATAAACACGTTCTCTGCTTTAATACCGACACTTTGACCCTCCATCACGAGTTTTTACAAATGGTTTCAACAGCCTTAACCTCCTGATGCATGTAAATGAGTGTCTTAAGGTAAGATGTGTGTGTGTGAGAAACATTTTTGCTTCTATTTTATTGTCAGAAAATTGATTTGTGTTGATCTGTTTTTCCACTCTCAGGCTGCATGCGCTTAGAGGGCTACAAGGAGATGCTAATGAATGTAAAAGCAAAGTTCAGACAAAAACTACAAAAAATGTATTAAAATTTCATAACTTCGTTTTCTGGACCAAAATGCTTTTTTTCTTTGTTTTTTAATGCAGTTCACATAAAGGCAAAGTATTATTTCATTTATTTTGCCAAAAGTAAAATAAAAGAAGACCGTTTCATGTACTGACCTCTTTGTAATGACAAGCATTCATAATCATAAAATCAACTTGTTGCCTATTCCTAAAGTTTGACTCATTCTGTGTCTTTACAGTTATTTGTATTTCACATAAGCAATGTAAGATTTTCCTGAAGGAATACAAGTTATTCGCCACCTTTTATTCCAAAGCATTTAATTACGGTCATCTAATGTTGAGAAACTTTACGTCAAAATTCGGATGTTTTTAATCTATCTCGCATATTCTCGGGTGGTTACGCGTCTGTTGGCATGTCTCGCGAGACTTTCTACCACCACTCGGAATGTTAGCCCACTCCCAATATTGGTAAGATTAATTAAAGCCACAGTTTGCACATGGTGAGGTGAGTCGCGTGTCCACCTTGGTTGTTGACGTACATCCTGTAAAGATTTAATGAGTTTTATTGAAATATGTCCATGCATTTATCAGATGTTTTGCTAACAGCTTAAGTTATTTTTAACAGTAAATGCTCGAACAAATTACTTGTGCACCGTGTAGTACAAAAAAATGTGTTTGGGATATTTTTACTAATGAGACACAAAATTGTAGCTCCGTGTCTTTCAAAATTCACCGAGCTTTAGCTATTTTTTCTGTTTGCTAACGATGATTAGCTCTGGCGGCCATGTTGAAATGGTTAAACTATCAAAAGCAAACAATAAAAACTTCTAAAAACATATTTGTATGTTTTCAACCTGCACTTCATAATTACAGCGGCAGGGGGAGTGTGGCCATCACATTTCGTTTGCCCTCGTGTGCAAGGTTACTTTTAGATGCATATTGCATAACAACATGCATACTGCATTAGGATTCAGCACGAAGATAGAAACCCCTTTGGAGCCTGCAGAATTACTACATTGAAATACTTTAAAATATTCATTTGCTGCTTTATTTTATCTTGCATTTAATCATTAAATGCCTGGAGCTTTCGCTGCACAACCAGACAGTCGAGACGACTAAAACAAAAGCCTAATCCTAATAATGAATTGAATAATCCATGCAGTTCAAGAATCTTAATGTGCAGATTATCCTCACAAGTAGAAATTCAGAGAGCAAACAGGAACCACTAAAGTCCCCTAAGTGCTCGTCAGTTTGTTGTGACCCTTGATATATTTTTTGCCTTCAGACGGATTTCTGCTGTATAAATCAGTGCTGTTTGGAAAGAGCTGGTGGCGTTACTAAATCTGCAGACTGCAGGGGGAGGATTTTTAAAAAGTGTCAGTTTATTAACATTTCAACACAGGGCAGAGGGGGAATTTTTACAATAAATAGAACAGGATGGACTCGTTGAAGAGCCAAGAGTGAAATCTTACTCCACGCAGTGTAGAGGATGCTGCCTTCATGTACCGTGGGAAATGCTAGAGGTTGTTGCAAACTAAGAATAAACGTTTTTAAACAAACATAAGGTGAATAAAAGAGTGTTCACTCAGAGTAAATAAACTGATAGGTCGCAATAATAATAGTAATAATACATTAGATTAATTATATAAATGCACAGCAGAAAGGTGCTGCTGTAGTGAAATAATTACATAATTATAATATTCATCTTTAAAATAATAATCATTTAGCACATTTCTTTAAACACAGGTGTGTAAATTTTAGTTTTATGTGGTAAAATTCTCATTCAGGTTGCACTTGGACATATTTGGATGTCATTTCCTCTAATCCATCCCCATTTACATCTGATTATCGGAGAATAATTATTATTAATAAATAATTAAATAAGAACTACAATTGTAGTGACAATAGTTGTAACAGTAATGAGAAGAGAAAAAAAAACGAAGTATGAGAGTATAAAGAGTAATACATACATACATACACACATAGTACATACATACATGAGAGTAACAAAATCTAGGTAGGTGATAAATGCATATGTAGTTATGCGTTTTACATGGATACACTTTGTAATTTATATTAAAAACTGAAATGAACTCATTTTAGTACAAATAAACAATAAAAACAAAACAATAAATCAGGACATTAATTTCTTTTTGCATTCTTGTCATTAGCGTTAGCTAAACTTTGTGTCTTTGTGGATTTATTGGTAGAATTGTATTCTTTAGTTATTTGGTTGGATGTTTTTTTTTTAAATCTTTTTTGTCAGTAATGTTATAACTTATGTCTTAAAGAGGTGTGTCACTGAGAAACCATGTTTTACTTATTATTTCTGATTATAATTGGGCAGTCTTAAGTTTTTCATGCGGGCTGAACATGAAAATAGTCTCCTACACCTATCTCCTGCATTAGCCTCTGATAGAAAATAGACGGTGAAACTCTAGGATTTGAAAATCCTGATAGATCTACGTCACACTGTCACTTACCATTCATGGACTCACCCATCGTGACTCACGACGGAGAAGGCTGTTGTTGGTTTAACGTCCAGGAAACAGCAGAGAACATCTTGACAAGTAGAATAATAATAATACATCGAACTTATATAGCGCTTTTTAGGACACTCAAAGACGCTTTCATGCACTTCACACACTGCTAGTGATGGTAAGCTACTTTCTAGCCACAGCCACCTTGGGGCAGTCTGACAGAGGCAAGGCTGCCATTTGGCACCGTCGGCCCCTCTGACCACCACCAACAAAGGCAAGTTGGGTCAAGTGTCTTGCCCAAGGACACAACAGCAGAATACCCCTGGCAGGACCTGGAATCAAACCCATGACCCTCCGATTATGAGGCAACCCGCTCTACCTCCTTAGCTACTGCTTTAAAGTAGAAGCTAACTGTTAGCATTAGCAACTCCACCACACGGCAGAACTTCTTGAGGCTTGAGTTATTTGTGGGGATAAAACATTAACGCCGCAGATCAAACAGAGTCAGTGGTAGTGTTGAGTTTCTGTTAGCCAATCAGAAGCAAGTTGTCCAAATATCAGGAAATAAGACTCCATATCCCGTCGTCTGAAACTACTTTCTCCTCTGACTGAATTTTTTGTACTGAAACAGGCGAATCTTAGCTCTATTTCCCCAGAGTGCGACTCACAAGGCATTCATTCCTACTACAGACCACTGCAAATATATTAAAATATTCCGTACCAACTTTATTTATAAAGCACTTTTAAAAACGGCATGGCAGCCGACCAAAGTGCTGTACAGACAAAAAGCAAAACACAACATAAAAACAAAAACACAATCAATAATAAAAGTACACAACAAAGCCGTAAAATCACAGTCAATAAAAGAATACATAATAAAAATAATTAATAAAAGTCAAGGGTTTAAAAATGCCCGGTCGTAAAAGTGGGCCTTAAGCAGTGACTTGAAAAGGGGAGGGATGGTGCCAGCCTCACCGAGAGAGGAAGAGCATTCCAGAGTGATGGAGCAGCATAGACAAAAGCATGCTGCCCCCCGTTTTGTATTTCATTGTAGGAACATGAAGCAGCAAGCAATCGGCAGATCTCAATGTGACATAGCGAGTCACAAGGTCAGGTATTCCGGTGCCAGACCATTCAGGGCCTTAAAAACAAAGATCAGAATTTTAAACTTCACTCTGAAGTTTACGAGTAGCCAATGGAGGTGCGCCAGTACAGGTGGGATATGGTCACGTCTAGAGGTGCTCGTCACAAACTTGGCTGCCGCATTCTGTACCACCTGAACCCTGTTTCGAGCGGAGGCTGGTACACCAAATAAAATGGAATTTGCGTAATCCAGTCGGGAGATGATAAAAGCATGAATTACAGATTCCAGGTGCGTCAGTTTCAGAATTGGTTTCAAGTGAATCAGTCAGCGCAGCTGGAAGAAACAAGATCTGTCCACTGCATTAATCTGAGGGCCCATGGAAAAGTGGGTATCCAGTTTCACCCCCAGGTTGGCAACACACTGCTTGAGGTCGTATGGGAGAATGTCCAAATCAGAAAGTGAGTCTGTGATTTTATTAGGAGCCATGAGGAGTGCCTCAGACTTGAAGTCATTCAGCTTCAGAAAATTGTCGGCAAGCCAGTCCCTCACTTCAGCCAAACATTGGTCCAGAAGAGAGAGAGCACCTGGTTTGTTCAAAGCCAGGTAGATCTGGCAATCATCTGCATAGAGATGGTAGCTTAGGCCATATTTCCTCAGGATAGAACCCAGAGGGAGGATGTAAATTGAAAACAGGAGAGGCCCGAGCACAGATCCCTGCGACACTCCCCTGGGGAGGTGGGAGGCATGGAGAAGAACAGTTACAAAACTGAACCTTGAAAACTCTGTTTGACAGATATGAGCGAAACCACTGAAGTGGGGTACCCCTAAGTCCCACCCAAGTCTCAAGTCTATCCAGCAGAATAACATGGTCAACTGTATCAAATGCTGCGGAAAGATCTAATAAAAGGAGCAGAACAGGAGACCCAGTCAGAGGCCACTAGGATGTCATTGGTCACGCGAAGACGGGCTGATTCAGTACTATGAGGTGGCCTAAAGCCAGACTGGAACACATCAATTAAGGAAAAGCTATTCATGTGTGCTGTGATCTGTGAATAGACAATCTCTTCAAGGACCTTAGACAGAAATGGTAATTTGGAGATTGGCCGGAAGTTTGCAAAGTTGGAATGGTCTAAACCATTATTATTATTATTATTTTTAAATTGGTTGCACAGCCGCCTTTTTAAAAGAAGTAGGAAACACCCCAGTGGTCAGGCTAGAATTAAAAATGTCCAGACTTCTCTAATTGCAGGAGAAAATACTCAAAACTAGTATTAGTTTGTTCTATTAGGTTTTCTTGGGGCAAAACAAGCTAGCAGCTAGTTAGATATGGAATGCTGCTGTTGTAAAACAAATCAAGTATCAAAATTTCCATTGTGGCTAATCTCTGTCTCAAACAGTTTTATGTCTGTGAAATTTGCACAATATTTGCATAGATCTCTGAGGTTACGTCTAAGCACCAATAGCAACATCAGCAGCTAAAGCGTTTTATCTGTGGCTTGGGAAAACTCCAGCAGAACTTGCCTAGTTTACTGTGTAATGCAACTGTAAAAGCAGAAAAGTGCTGTACACAGAACAGCAAAAACGCCTACCAACACACATGGGCCTGTTTCAAGATAGCATTCATTTACACTGGTCTTTGCCCTAAGACTGTCTTGTTAGGTCATTAATAACTAAACTATTTTTCACCAAATGAGCTAATAATTGTTTCTAACCATTTTTGCTTTAAAAAGTCTTAACTATGGATGTACTGATATGAAATTTGGGCCAATATTGACATCCGTTATTTATACTGATGTTATGGCCAGTAACTGATATTTACCAACATGTTACATGTATCCCAGCATTTTCGATACTGTAAAAACGACCACATCACTTACATTGGTTCTGTGGTTAAGTTAATTGGGGGAGCTGCGTACGTCAACTGGGGCTATAGGCGGACAGTGGAAGGAATACTTTGAGGAGCTCCTCAATCCCACCGTATACCGGGGTAAAATTAAGTGGAAGTTAGACGTTATTCAGATTTGGATACCACCCAAGCCTAGCACACTGACTGTGGGACAGCGTTCTAAACGCGTCAGGCTATTAACAGCGCGCTGAAGATCTGAAGTTCAGAGTGCGTCTGTCAGAGGTCAGACGCGTTCCAGCGGAACCACGGCTCACGGGTGCACAAGTGAGCACATCTGGGCTGGGCAGAAGTAATTTTACAACATTGGTTTGAATAGCGCCAATAACGATACGCAGTGACTGGAGTGGCTCATGGAGCTGTGCCGCGCACACACACACACACAGATTCAATAAGCACTTGCTGCGCGGCGTTGCGCTGCGCTGTGCCGTCAGACTGAAGGCAGAAATGAGCGCTGCCTCCTCCGTGATAAAAACTTTAAAGAGGTTTTATAACAACATTTTTCATTCAAGGTCAACTTAAGATATTAGCTTCTATTTTGGGATGACGTATTAAAATCGAGCCAGTGACTCCTCATGAACCTGACTACAACTCATGTTACTGCAGCATTTGTTATTCCAGTCCACGTGGCAGCGGATCGCAGATTCAGCCACACCATAAAACAGCAATAAGTCGGTCTGAGGCAAAAGTGAACCTCATGGCTAAAGCTTTTCCATCTTTTCCCCTATAGACATTTGATAACACACAAGTAGGTGATCAGTTCAGGTTTACACAGAGCAGAATGAAGGAGAGAGCTCTGGTTAAACGTTCCTGCTTTAAGAAAACCGTTAAATTGCATTGCTTATGTGCTACCTGGGCACTCTAAATATTGATTAAAAAATAAATCAAAGGAAATTGTAATGGTATTGAATGTTTATTAATTACTACTTAAAAAAATGAAAGTGATGGGGAAAAAGGTTGATCATATTTTTTAACCGTCTGTCTAGTGACTGTTTAGCTTGACGTTGATATATATATATATATATATATATATATATATATATATATATATATATATATATATATATATATAATGCATTGAACTTATATAGCGCTTTTCTAGACACCCAAAGACGCTTTCACACACTTTCACATTCACACACTGCTAATGATGGTAAGCTACTTGTAGCCACAGCCGCCCTGGGGAGGTCTGACAGAGGCGGGGCTGCCATTTGGCGCCGTCTGCCCCTCTGACCACCACTATATATATATATATATATATATATATATATATATATATATATATATATATATATATATCCATGCCCTGATGCGGGGGCTGGGGGGTGCGTCGACATGGTTGGGACATAGATGGGGGTGCACGGCTTAATAAGTTTGGGAACCGCTGCACTAGTGGACTATTGTAGCAAATCAGCATGATTGCCATCTCATCCAGATGACTATGAGTATTAGTACCTTCATCATAAACCTACCATTTCCAGTGCTATACATGTCTACTGCCCTCTGGTGGAAGAACTACAGGTGTGGGATGGTTTTATTTGCCTATTACTGTTAAACGGCTGTATAATTAAGATTCAAAAATTTTTAATTGCCACAATTGAAAGAAAACAAATATTTACATCAATGCATCTCCTGAGCTTAATGTTATGTAAAAAACTAAATATTTTATTACCATTAAAGAATAAGTAGCTAAGTTTCAGAACCTTTTAAAATCATTATTGGTTCTGTTATTTTTGGTCATTTCGGGCATTAAAGGGTTCATGTCTTTGGTTTTTTTTTTTTTCTGTGTGTTTTTTAACATACGCCGTGCTGTGAAGCTGCGCTGTCGGAGCTGCGGCGGAGTCCGTGAACGCACCGTGTCCCTGATTACTACAGCAGTGAGTGCCAGAGCTGCTCCACGGTAGCCGCTTCGCTCCACAGCCAGCAGAGAGCCGCGCCTCGCCGGGCAGGGGCGGGGGCACACACCGACGGGCTCTGGACTCTGTGATGTGCAGTAAATGGGATTAAAGCGCTCAGACAGCTCTGGGAAACACTAATAGTGGTAGTGGCGGTGGTAGTAGTAGCCGTGCCGCGTGCAACTTACGCCGCCGGTGAGAACTCACACATGCTGGAGTCTAAGTGGGGCAGAGGGGGGCAGAGGACCCGGGGGATGCTAGAATTACTTTGCTGAACTTCCATAAATAGAACAAGATAAATTAATCGAGTTTTATTTTTATTTTTTGTGTGTGGAGATATTTGAGGACACAATGGAGGGACACGCGGGTGAGCACCACAACAGCAGCAGCAGCAGCGACGACGTTCGGAAGAGCGGCTACCTCCGCAAACAGAAGTCCATGCACCGGCGCTACTTCGTGCTCCGCGGCGCCTCGGAGCGCGGTCCGGCCCGGCTGGAGTACTACGAGAGCGAGAAGAAGTTCCGCGGCAAGGCCCCCGTCCCGAAGAGGGTCGTGGCGCTGGAGACGTGCTTCAACATCAACAAGCGGGCCGACTCCAAGAACAAGCACATGATCGTGCTGTACACGCGGGCGGAGAGCTTCTCCGTGGCCGCGGAGAGCGAGGCGGACCAGGACGAGTGGTACCAGGCCATGGTGGAGCTGCAGTGCAAAAGTGAGCAGCAAAAACACGTGCACACACACTCACTCACTCACACATGCAGTAGGAGCGAGGAGAAACGTGGCAGCCGCTCTGCAGAGTTTAGAGTATGTTTAATTTATTACAACTGGCGCGTGCTTGATGTAAAATCCGCAAATGACCTTTAAATAAAAGCGCATCTGTTTGAGTTTGCGTAAACACGCGCCTCTGAGCCTCAACGTGGGGGTTATCGCCCCCCAGCAGCTCTTATCAGGCTGGTGTCAGGCTGGATATTTACTCTCAGACTTCTTGTGAGTGTTTTTCTTTTCTCTAGAGTTGTGTGTGTGTGCTTCTGCCTCCGTGTCCCAACCACTGCTCAAACACACCCTATCCTCCAGTTTACTGCTCCTCCTCTGCTGCTGATACAGCACTATTACATCAGGCATCGATCCCTGAGAATAAATATTCCCCAACAGGTCATAAAAGCTGATCAGGACCTGGTAATTATGTGTGTCAATGCATTAGAGGGTTGGGGCACGTCTATCACCACTTGGTTCATTATTCTGTTAAGATTTATGTCTGGGTTTTCACTCTGAAAGCTGCAAATGATGCAGTTCAGTTGGGGATAGTGTGCAAAGAAACAGCGAGAAGTTTCACCATAGACATCAATGGGATTTTGGTGGAACAGGTGAGAAAGCCCAGCTCTGCAGCTCCGACGCAGTCACAATAGAAGCATCATTCAGAGGTTAAACGGGTCACACAGAGCTGGACTTTAGTTATTTAATGTGGAATTTTATTATGATTTTTGTGCAAAAACTGTTTTACCATTTTTGGGATTTTCTTTGACGCTCACAAATTTCTCCAGTGCAGTTTCAAAAACAGTTTTTAAAAGTTAAAAAAAAGAGATTTTTTAGGAAATAAAATAAAGAATTATGAAAAAAATACAAACAAAATAAGCATTGAAATAGGAGGAAATTGGACCTTAAAGGTGTGGTTTACTCATTTATTCAATACATTTGCACTGTTCTCTAGTGTAAATCAATGCCTTATGAGTCATTAAAAAAGCTATGATGCTCCTGTTCTGACTTGCAGCAGCTTGCTAGTGCAGAGGTGAGCTGAAAACAGCAGGATTACTTATTAACGATATGCACACATCTCGCTTCTGATTGGCTAACACAAGACTTTGCAAAGTCACAATCACCAAGACACAGTCTGCTCTCTCTCTCCTCACTGCAAACAAAAAGTCTTCCTGTGGGTGGGTGCGAGCCAAGATGGGTGAGGCTGTGAATACAAATTCACAGTGTGACATCACAAGGTGAAGATTTTTAAATCCTAGCATTTCACCATCTGTTTACTATCAGAAGCTAAAGCAGGAGATGGCTGAATGATCTATAATTTCATGACTAAAATTGCGATTTCAAACAACGCGATCACGTGATCGTCAAAGCTTTGGTGTTTTGTAGCGCTCCTGACTGACCCAGGATTCGTTGTCAACTGTTTTAGACATCTGGGGTTTTCCACGTGCTACAGCGGCAGCAGAGAGCGCTGGGAGGGGGAGGGGGATACCGGTACTTGAGTGGTACATCATTTTCCCGTTTTTCCCCTTCCACAGCTCTGCTACCACTACTGATATTAAACGTGACCGTCTGTCGCTGCCGCAAATGTTCTTGTCTCTCGGCACCGTGGGCGAGTGACAGAGAGGGAGAGAGAGAGATTCTCCAGCAGCAGAATGGGGTTTATCACAATAACACTCAGTGGACTTGAAAGCGCAACTTTTCATCTTTTAAAAAACCTTTGTGAAAACGTGTCGGACATTACCGATAGGGATGGGTACCGAATTCGGTACTTTTTAAGGTACCGACCGAATTCAACAGTACCGACCGAGCACCGATTCACTTCATTTGAAACGGTGCCTCGTTTCGGTACCCGTCCTTCACAACTCCCGCTCTGCTCACACAACAGAACTGCAGCCTCGGAGAGTTAAAACATCTTGTTTGTTAAAATCAACACTTGATACTGGAGCCAATACAGTCGTTAAGAGTTTCGTTTACCATCCCTGCTTGTGGAGCGAGTCGGGTTGCTTGCTGATGTGATTATTTATTCATTTAAATCAAGAACAAGAGATGACGTTATTACAAAACGCAAAGAAGACGTATACCAGACGAAGCTGAAGTTGGTTCTGTTTTTTTAGTTTCAGAGACAGAAAGGGCAAGTCCAGTTCCCGAGCATCTTTAGTCCGCTCTAATTATAAATGTAGAAACCTGGACTAAGTTCTTCTGCTCTAATAGCACCTTAATGACTTTAGTACCCGGGGTGGCTCAGGAGGGAGTCTCCAGTAATTATATACTTCTTTTTTATTAAAAAAATCACAAGTTGCTTCACAAGAGCATTAAAAAAACATTAAACAAGATAACGATGGGAGGAAATGAATAGCTTAGAATGTTTTTATGACTACTGTGAATAATGTCGAACCAAATTTGCAATTCCTCCTAGACAAATCACAATTCAATCTTTTCCTAAAATCGTTCAGCCTGCATAAGGAACTCCGAGTGACTGATTATAGTCAGGCTTTTCAGTCAACCGCTCCTTTAATTGACAGCTAATGGTTACCATGACAACTCTAATTAGCAGCTTCAGTATTTCTGTTGATTCCTTTATGCTTTTTATACATAGAGTTGTGTAGTTAAAGTTTTATATAGATTTAAAAACTACGAGTGATGGGGGAGCGTTTTAGCCCGCCTTGCCCCATTTCACAAGTTGTCCTCAAAAATATTTAAAAAAAAGGAGAAAAAAGCCAACCATGCAGATGTTTCTCTGTGTAAACACAGCTGTCACAGCTGTGCTGCAACTCTGAGTCACCTGTTCACCCTACTCTTCATCACCTCCCTGCCAGGGACCAGACAGGCCGTAAAGGACACATGACGCAATCCTGGCAATCGAAGATATGAGTTCAAGGTGCTTCTCCTGACCCGCAGCTCTGTTACATAAAGTACCCGAGGAGAGATAAGGAGGCTGATAAAGTCGGTGTTCCAGATTTTATTTTGAGCTGCACACAAAGTCATAAAGGACGTGGATGGCTGTTTGTTTTTGTCATCTTAGGAAAGCAGTTAGAAGCTGCTTTAGCTCAGGAGGCTTCAAACTGGTGTGGGCATCGCTTTAACGCAGATAAGCCTGTGTGTGTGTGTGTGTGTGTGTGTGTGTGTGTGTGTGTGTGTGTGTGTGTGTGTGTGTGTGTGTGTGTGTGTGTGTGTGTGTGTGTGTGTGTGTGTGTGTGTGTGTGTGTGTGTGTGTGTGTGTGTGTGTGTGTGTGTGTGTGTGTGTGTGTGTGTGTGTGTGTGTGTTTAAAATCCTCTCCTTCCCAAGATTTGGCAAGTTTCTGCATAATGGAAAAGTGGAGATGCTTTCCTTATTATTCCCAACCTTTAAGCTCTTCCAAAAGCGTAAATAGTCCAAACTCTAAATGCTCGTGTCCAGATGTCAGATTTTCTGGAAAATTCGTTTTTTGGGGAGCAAACCCGATCCGTCAGACATCTGCAAAAGCTCTAAACAGATGTTGTAAATACCTAGAAAGAATAGACTTCACGAATATTAAGTGTGGTACATTTATTACGTATCACTTTACAAAGTACTTAGCTGTTAGTACAAGTACATGCTGCACAGCCCTGATCATAAGCACACTTGGATGGGACTGCGGCTCTGTGGAGGGTCTGCCATCATTTCCAGGACTCCTGCTGAATACTTGAAGTTATCGTTCTGTTGCACAACAACGTCAGAACCAATCAGATGTCTTCCTGATGGTATTGCATGACTGATAATAATCTTCAACTCCATTTGCGTAAAATGCTTCCTCAAACATACACCCCAGTTCTGGTGTTTTCCTTTAGAGTTGGATTGTTTTTACTTTATGACTGATATTCACACAAAGATCACTCGTACCTGACCTTTTCTGGAGAGTAGAGTCCTATAGGGCCCTCATGGTTTCAATAGCTACGTTTCCACCGTAGATGTTTTGGGAAATTTCTGGGAGGGGTGAAGTTGACAGGAAAAATGTGATGGCTTGATCCTCTCAGCCCTTTCAGGACTTTGCTAAGAAGTTAGCACGTTGCGACCATTTCAGCAGTGAGTGATGCTGTTGATTAGCGCCAGAAGGCATCTACAGAAGTAGATTCATGCAGGGGATGGGGAAAGTGGTGTTCAATGGTGAGAAGTTGAGTTTTTACTGTGCTGTCAGATACCATAAAGCAGCGTTGTGTGTGTGTGTGTGGGGGGGATTTTTTCCACATTTGGCGGTAACCTTACAGAAGCATCAACGCTGCTTATTTTCTTTTCCTCTTCCACATCACCAGCAGCTCTTCCAGTTTTACAGATGCCGGTTGTTTGGCGATGTCTGCTGATAGAGTTTCATACTGAGTTAGGACTAGTCAGCATTAGTTCCCACTAGGGCTGAAACGATTCCTCGAGTACCTCGAATAATTCGAGTGCAAAACATCCTCGAGTCAAGTTCTCTGCCTCGAAGCTTCGTTTAATTCATGTTTAATTAGTTCATGGCTTTGCAATCGCCCGGGGTCATGTTTCACCCGGACCGAAATAAGTGACGCACATACACACTGCACTGAATGCACACGCGAGTAGTGAACGCAACTTAACTTTCTCTTAAGCCGTGGCGGACAACGTGGACCCCGGTGGAGTGCGAAAAAGACACAAAATGTCAAAGGTGTGGGACCATTTTTCACGTCGTAAGGCGGAAAACGTAATCGAGTGCAAATCCTGTAAAATGGATGTAGCCTACCACAACACCACATCCTCCATGCTGCAGCACCGGACCAGGAAACATCCGCATGTAAACGTCACTTCTGCAAGCGGACTCGGAGCCTCTACAAGATGATGCATTTTAGCCTGTATTTCTATATATTCTGCAGACACTGTGTGACTTTTTCATTTGTAGCACTCAGTTTCAGCTCACACCGTACGTCTGGTAGCAACACGTTGGACTTAAAATGTGCTAAAAATAGCATTTTTTACAACACGTCGGACTT